TCTCTCTCTCTCTCTCTCCTTCCCCATCCCCAGTCTGTGTCTCTCTCTCTCTCTCTCCTTCCCCATCCCCATCCCCATCCCCATCCCCATCCCCAGTCTGTGTGTCTCTCTCTCTCTCTCTCTCCTTCCCCATCCCCAGTCTGTGTGTCTGTCTGTCTGTCTCTCTCTCTCTCTCTCTCCTTCCCCATCCCCAGTCTGTCTGTCTCTCCTGCCCCACCCCCCCAAACCTCTCTGTGGGCCTCAGTTCCCTACAGTGGCCGCGGTGTGGAGCCGGCCGTGCCCGGGAGCTCTGGGCCGGAACCTCGGCTAGTAGCCACCCAGTCCCAGGCCCACTCACCGCGCTTGTCGTGGTCGTAGCCCACCAGCACGAAGTAGTCGGCCAGCCTGGCCATGGCCGTGTCGCTGCTGCTCGGCACCGCCTGTACTCCCAACCGTCAGCATCGTCCCGCCGCCATCCCTTCTGCACCGCGCCTGCGCACCCCGCCGGGAGGGGGCCCACAGCCCATAGCCCATAATAGTCACGGCCTCCGCCTCCATGGAAACCTCCTTCACAACCGACCCAAAGACAGCAGGACCATTCGGCCCATCATGCCCGTTCTAACCCGATATTGTTGTCTCATCTCAACCTTCTTTCTACCTTTCAGTTACTTTTAAAAAAAATATCATTTATTAACCCTTTACTGATGGTCCTTTCTATACCTAGGCCCCATAACTTTATACACCTGAATTAAATTTCCCGTTCGCTATTCCCGGCTCTAAATTTGACAGCAGACTAGCCAATATTTCTTCATAGCTCATTTTCACTTCCTCATTATGGTTTCTTCCTTGAAAGCCTTCTGTTTGTGGCATATAAGCTGACCCTTCGTTATGCAGTGATCAAGATATATATTTAGCAGGCCAGTCCTGTCCCAGTGTTGTGCAGAGTTCTCGCTTTGCTCTACGCCCTGTGCTTTGTCCAATAAAAGAAAGCAACCCATATTCCTTCTGAGGAAGGGTCACTAGATCCGAAACTTTAACGCTGATTTTTTCTTCACAGATGCTGCCAGACCTGCTGAGCTTTTCCAGCAACTTCTGTTTTTGTTTCTGATTTACAGCATCCGCAGTTCTTTGTTTTTTTATCCCCTATTCCTTCATAGTCATCCGTAATAGCAAACAATGTACTCCATAATATTGCACTGTTGCACTTTCTGGAAGTTATTAACCCATAGACCATAACAGTGTGTCAGTTGGTATCAATTGATTTCCCACTATGGTGTGGTCTTTGCCTCTCACAAGGTATTTGTGCCTGATGTTGTGACGTTTGTGGCTCCAGTCACACAAGAACTAAATGTGCGTAATACTCTACTGAAAGACTCAAAGGATTTTTTATACAGATCCTTATATACGCTTATAGTCACGTGCACCGCACCAACTGTGCAAATATTAACTTATTTGGCTATGAACAATAATACACTTCTAGAAAAGTCGTTTTTCAAGTAGCTCCAATGAAGATTGACTTTCATACCTGGGATCACATTCTAAGGATTGAACGATTAAATCACAAGCATGTTGTTGAACAATGGGAAATTATGAGAAGTAATCTGTCACAAGGATATAATCGTCTCCACGTACCAAGCCTGTTACTATTTTCATCCAAGGAGTGAATGGAACATTATTTTGGGACTGGTACATTTGACAGGCCTCACATGCATTCATGAATCATTGAATATCTTGATTCATTCCTGGTCGGTACACAGATTCATTTGCTAACTACCTTGTGTGTTCAATACCTATGGTCTCTGGTGTGACAGGACATTGGTGAGGCCTCTTCCAGAGTACTGTGTCAAGTTCTGATTGCCCTGTTATAGGAAGGATATTATTAAGCTGGAGAGGGAGAAAAGATTTCCCAGGATGTTGCTGGGAATGGAGGGTTTGAGTTATGAGGAGAGGCTGGATAGGCTGGGACTTTGTCACTATAGTGTAGCATGTTGAGCAGTGATCTTGTGGAGGTTTATAAAATCATGAAGGTTATAGATAAGGTGAATGGTAAGTGTTTCTTCCCCTAAGGTGGGGGATTTCAAAACAAGGTGTCATATTTTTAAGGTGAGAGGAGAAAGATTTAAAAAGACTTGAGGGGCAATTTTTTTACACAGAGTCGTTCATGTGTGGTGGATGCAGGTACAGTTACAAAATTTGAAACACATTTGGATATGTACGTGAATAAGAAATGTTTGGAGGATATGGGCCAAGAGAGGGCAGGTGGGATTAGTTTAATTTGGGATTGTAGTTGGCATGGATTGGTTGGACTAAAGGGTCTGTTGCCGTACTGTATGACTTGTTTGCACTTTAAAATGCCTTGCCATGACATACCAGTTCATTTCTATGCAGCCAAAATGGACAAATATTCTTACACTTAATACTGCCAGGCCATCCCTGAATAATAGTCTTTTGCAACTCTTGTTGTTGCTCATCTTCAGCAGTTGAGAATTGTAGCTGTTCACAGTGACTCTGACCAATGTGTAACAGAGTAACTTTGAGAACATCGTCAATTTTGGCAAATGTGATTACATCATATGTGATATGTCCTAACACAGTGGGTATGGTTTTAATCTCATGAATTGTGACCGTATTGAGATCTGTGCATACTGGTAATCCTGCACTGCCAGAACTTTGGTATCTACAAGTTAGAAGAATTTGGGAAGCCACATTGAGCTTGTGCATTGGCACTGTAATGTGATTGTGCCAAAGCATAGAATTGATGATCCATTACATTTAGAAGATGATATGTTAGGTGTTCCTTGGAGCGTCACTTGCTAAGGTGTTAGACTGGGTGTTGATTTTAGCTTCTAGGGTGTGTCAAGCTGCTTTTTAGGACTTTAATGTTTTAACTAAGATCTGTAGCTTGGGTTGTGGTTGGAGTTGTTGGTTAGTTTGCCAAGCTGACTGATTTTCATGCAAACATTTTGTCTCCCTTCTAGGTGACATGGTCAGTGCTGTGTAGCCTCCGTTGAAGCACTGTTGTTCTGACCCGCTCTAAATTTTTATGGTCTGGTCTGTCATGGTGGGCCGTCTTGTTTCCAGTTTTGTACAGTAGTAGTATGTAGATGGAGTCTATTTCAACATGTTTGTTTATTGCATCGGTGGTTGAAAACCAGGCCTCCTGGAATTCTCATGCTTGTCTTTGTCATGCTTGTCCTCGTGCTGTAACTTTGTCCCAGTTAAATTCATGCCCTTCTATGTCGTAGTTTATTAAAACAAGGGAGAGCTGGTCGTGCTGTTTTGCTGCAGGTTGGTGTTCATGTATCCTGGTGGCGGGTTTCCTGCCTGAATGTCCTATTCAGTGTTTCTCACAGTTGCTGCATGGTATTTTATACATCGCATTTGTCCTGCTTATTGTGAGTATCAGGTCTTTCATCTTTGAGAGTTACTAGTGAAGTGTGGATATTGGTTTGTGTGCTATTGTTAGGCTGTAGGAGGTTGTAGGAGTCTTGTAGTCAACTCTGATGTATTTCTAAAATGCTTTTTAGACCAAATGATGTTAATGGTTGTGAAAGCTTTTGGCAGTGAGGCCACACCTTGTGTATTGTGTGCCATTTTGGTCTGTTAGTCTGAGGAAGGACATTCTTGCTATTGATGGAGTCCAGCAAAGGTTCACCAGACTGAATCCCGGGATGGAAGGACTGACATTTGAGGAAAGACTGGATCAACTGGGCTCACTGGAATTAGAAGAATAAGAATAAATAAAAACATATAAAATCCTGATGGGACTCGACAGGCTAGATGTGGGAAGAATGTTCCCGATGTTGGGGAAGTCCAGCACAAGGGGTCACAATCTAAGAATAAAGGGTAAGCCATTCAGTGCTGAGATGAGGAAGAATGTCTTTACTCAGAGAGTTATGAATCTGTGGAAGTGTCTCTCACAAAAAGCTGTTGGGACCAGTTAATTAGATGTATTCAAGAGGGAGCTAGACGTGGCTCTTGCGGCTAAATGGATAAAGGGGTAATGAGAGAAAGTGGGAATGGGATACTGAGATTGCGTGATTGGCCGCGATCAAATTGAAGTGTGGTGCAGGCTCAAAGGGCCGAATGGCCCACTCCTGCACCTATTTTCCATGTTTCTATGTTTCCAAGTTATATAATACTGTGCACCAACCTATAAGGTTAACAACATGAAAAGATTGGTCACCATCCAACATTTTCCTTTTTCTCAGCTGACTGTGTACTTCATCATTTTATTTGCATATGCGCATTTTCTCAAGACTTTTCCTGCTGGTAATGTTGTGGTGTTCTATCACCTTGTGTTTTTATTCACTTGTGGGTTGTGGGTGTCGCTGGCTGGCCAGCCTTTATTGCCCATTCTAGTCGCCCTTGAGAGGGTGATGTTGAGCTGCCTTCTTGAACCACTGCAGTCCACATGCTGTAGTTTGACCCACAATAGGGAAGGAATTCCAGGATTTTGACCCAGTGACAGAGAAGGAATGGCAATATATTTCCAAATAAGAATGGTGAGTAGCTTGGAGGGAAACTTGCAGGTGGTGGTGTTCTCATGTATCTCCTATCCTTATCCTTCAAGATGGAAGATACTTCAAGTTTGGAAGATACTGTCTAAGGATCTTTGATGATATTCTGCAATGCATCTTGTAAAAGGTATACACTGCTGCTATGGAGCATTGGTGGTGGAGGGAGTGAAGGCTTGTGGATGTGGTGCCAATCAAGCGGGCTGCTTTGTCTTGAATGGTGTCAAGCTTCTTGGGTGTTGTTGGAACTACACCCATCCAGGCAAGTGGCGAATATTTCATCACACTACTGACTTGTGCCTTGTAGATGGTGTACAAGCTTTGGGAAGTCAGGAGATGAGCTATTTGCGGCAGTATTCCTAGCCTCTGACCTGCTCCCATAGTCACTGTGTTTATGTTATGATTCCATTTGAGTTTCTTGTCAATGGTAACCCCCAGGATGTTGATAGTGGAGGATTCAGTACCGGTAACACCATTGAATGTCAAGAGGCAATGGTTATTGCCTGGCATTTGTGTGTTGGTCACCTGTGTTCTGGGATTTTTCTTGGCCTTTGAAACCAGATTTCCTGCATGTGCAATGTCTTTAATGCCCCACACTTGGTGAAAGGAAGAAAAATTGAACAGCTTTTGGTAGATGCAACAAACTGCTGCTGTTGCAGATCTTGTTGGTATGGTGCATATTGCTGACCATAATAATAATGTTGGATGCACCTAAAGCACGCAATTAATGTTGACTTCACGACGGCTGCATGCTAGGATTGTTTTCATTTAAGGCATCGAGGACTAGCTCTTTTTTCTTGCCCAAGAGAAATTGTCTAAAGGCTTTAATTAGTGCAGAGGTGATTACTAATTCAATGAGCCTCCCTGAGAGTTCAGGCAGAAATTACATACCCTTTGCTGCAGCATCTTGTGACAATAGACTCTTAGAGTTTCTGTGTGTATGACGTGATGGAGTCTGTTAAGCCTGAAGGATTAGCTG